CTGATTCTTTCCTTAGTTGACCACCTAAGAGCACAGTTAGAGTTTGCAAAGGAAGAATGTCGGATGATGGAGAGAAAGCGGGAAGAGTTGGTGAGGAAAGCGAAACAGTTGCAGAACCGCAGTGGCCAAAAGCGGAACCAAGGTAGGCATGCTATGTGGGCAGTGGGTAAGAAATGACGCTGGAATTATACCTGCAACATGTATGCGGACATATTTGCAAAATGTGTATACAAATACACGTAGGGACAGTAAATATGACCGAGATTGTGGTGTTTACTTGTTGTATTACTATAGTATTAGTACTATTAGTATAACGAGTATTGCTTATTTGTAACCTCCCAGTACCTATGTATTCTGTCCCTAAATGGATAAGTAGCAGTGGTCAAATATAAATGTGTTGGACTCAAGGTTAGGTAAGATTAATTATAACCCGGTGCATTACATGTTGCTTAGGAGAGCAGCTGCTTGGTGGTTTGCTGCCGGGCCAATTTTCCACAAATACATCAAAGAATGCTTATCATTGTGCATATTCTTTCTAGAGTCACCAGAAAGTACTTGCCGTTATACCCATCATTGCCATATGCACTAAACAGTGATTGCCATCATGCCTATCCTTGTCAGATGCACCAAACCGTGATTGTCAGTTGTCATTAATGCTTATCCTTACCAGATCCACCGCACGGTCCTTGCCATCCTTGAGAAATCTTGCCAGACCCACTACACGTTCCTTGCCATCTCTGAGCAATCTTGCCAGATCCACCACACGGTCCTTGCCATCTCTCTGAGCAATCTTGCTAGATCCAACACAAAGTCCTTCCCAGATCCACCGCACAGTCCTTGCCATCTCTGAGCGATCTTGCCAGGTCCAACACAAAGTTCTTGCCAGATCCACTGCAGTGTCCTTGCCATTTCTGAACTATCTTGTCAGATCCACCACAAAGTCCTTGCCATTGTGTCCGTCCTTGCCATTGCGTCCATCCTTGCCAGATTCTCCACACAGTGCTTGCCATCGCGCTGAATGCTCTCCATCATCCTCTCTCTCTCTCTCCACACGTTCTCCAGCGCGCGACATCTGGAAGAGGCGCTACTTCGACGAGAAGAAGCGCACGCCAGCGCTCGAGGAGCAGAGCGGCAAGCTGCGGGGAGAGCTGGACGTCATCAGCCGACGCGTCATCGCGCAGCTAGAGAACGAAGCCACGTCGACGACGACGACGCAGCACCGGTCACGCGTAGAGAAGCCATCGAAGAAGGTGCGGAGAAGGAGGAGGAAGAGAAGGAGGGGAAGGAGGGTGGAGAGGAGGAGGGGAGCGAGGGTGGGATGGAAATACGGGGAGGAGGATGGGATGAGATGGGAGGAGGGTGGGATGGAAGGACTGGGAGGGGATGGGATGGAAGGACGGGGAGTAGGGTGAGATGGCGGGACGGGGAGGAGGATGGGATGAGATGGGAAGAGGGTGGGATGGACGGGCGGAGATAAGGGTGGGAAGTGAAGGTAGATATAGGATGGGAGAAGTTGGTAGAAGGGTGGGAAGAGAATAAAGTCAGATAAGAGGCGGGGGAGAGGGAGCGGGGTGTGAGAGTGGGAGGACGAGGATGGGATGGGGAGGGTAGAAGTGGGAAACGGTGAGGAGGGTGGAAGGACATAGAGGAACAGAGGACGCGGGAAAGGTGTAGAAAGCGGCGCTGGTCAGAAATATCTCCTCGTCGGGGTCGTCGGCCAAAACGGGGAATTTCAACAAACATTTTAGTCGCCACATGGTAGAAGGTCGTGGTTCCAAGCCGTTCTTGTTAGTCAGCTGGTCCTTCGGGCAATTAACGTACATATTTATACAGTTATCGCGCGAAAGAATAGGGGGGAAAAAGCCTGTAAACGCCGCACTACTAAACCCCTCACTAACCACACAACAGTTTCACCCGCCTCCCAACTTCGTCCGCATACTGCTGGTGCGAGTAATTTAGCGATCGAATAAAGGTGTGAGTTACGGCCCGCTTGATGGTCGTACATAGCTTATTTCTCGCGATATATAGCGATAACTGTATAGCGATTGTTCGCCAAGGATATTAGTTTTCTTGCTTCTAATCAATAGGTCGTCGACCCAGTAAGGTCTATTACCTGCTAGTCTCGCTGTCGGGCGACCGACAGCATTTTGACGTAGCTTATGCCATGCGGATATATTTTTACTCGCGAAGTCATGCTAGTGTTAAATGTGGCGCAAGTTTTCGACGAGATGGAGAAGGAAACGACGAGCGCTCTTCGTCGCAGGAAGGGAAACAAAATTACTTGTTTGACTTTCACTCAAGATGTGAAATTAAATCGTCCGGAACAAAACAAAAAATCAACCGTGAATGACATGTGCGTTTTCTCTTTATATGTTCGTCTGTCAATAATAACGGAACCATTAACGTGTTGTAATAAGATTTTGTGTAGGACGCGACAGACAGCGAGCGCGCTGCGCTGTATGGTTAGAATAATTCTGCAGATATTTTGTTGAAGGAAGGCTTTATTTTGTGAAGGCTTTTATTGAAACCCTGTTTGACTACATTTGCTCTACAAAATCTCAGCATGCTGTGGTATTCCAATCTCGTTTTTGGTTGACGACGGTTGTGCAAACGGTAATGCCTGTAGCATTTGGAGCCTAGCGGGTTCTATTAATTTCTACATGCGACTTTCATGGAGCGTTTGTACAGATTTGCGTTCTATTTCAGGAGCAAATACGCATAATGGGCACCAGCCTGAGCTCGCAAAAGTCAGTAACAAATAGCAATGAGGACATGTATCTGGAAAACTTGCTTGTATGTTTACGTGCTTTTTAGCAAGTCACCACGCCTGACTGGACTGACATCCGAAAAATGCGGGCCCTATTAGAAAGTTTAGACGCTTTCGAGTAAAAGCGGTCAGATATTTTTTCTGCGTAACTTGGGGGGGGTGCTTTACCATAACAGTTGTGTGCAGAACTAACTATCATAACGTTATTCTCTGGCGGGCCATTTTGCTTCTTCTGCTTTTCAAAGCACATGACAGATACAGTATAATGGCACACGCCAGAATACTGTCTGGCCAACTTTTGCTCGAAAACGCCTGATTGGGGTTCGATTTTCTGAATATCCGACTAGTCTATATAGTCTCAGTCGCACCTGCGCGTAGATCTGCTTTCCGCAATGAGTTAATTCCGTCAAAGGGGTAATTACTCATCGTAACGGTGAGACGAAAGCTAGTGCTGCACATCACTGCCGAAGCTGTCACTACACGAGACAAAGCTGACACTGCACACAGAGCTCCATCTAATGCTAATTATCACCTGCAGTTATGTAACACGGATAGGTTAATGATTCATTAGCGATCATAGCTTCGCGAGCATCCCGCGCTATTCGGCAATCACCAGCTGCACCGGTGAACAGTAATGGATAGTAATAACAGTAGTGCCTAAATCTCACTCAACGTCGGCGTGGTCACCCAGGCAGTCTGTACGCGTCCCGGATTGCGGTATAGCGATGCATCATATTATTATATATTATATAGATTATATACTTTTCTAGATTAGCTTTCAATTCGCGGTCGCTTTGGTGGTAGATGCTACCCGTGTCAGTATTGTTGTTGTCTGATAGAATCATTAGAGATTAGTTGTGTGATAGAGAATTCCTTTATCTTTTTTAAGTCACCCAAGTGGGGGCACATTTTAGATATACCCTTATGGAAAAACCTGTGAATGGTTAGTAAATCCTGGGCGTGGCTCTCACATCATATCACCGAGGTCTGGGAATGGTTTCATTTTTATATCACCTTTTAATTTGATATCTATTGCATGCGTGTCTGCAGAACAACCAGAAGCTGTCTATCTTAAAGATGATGCAGGACATTGAAGACATAAAGAGACGCGTGGAAGATGCCAAGCTGAAGCTAACAGCAGAAGTTAAGGTACATCTCAGCCTCTCTCTCTCTCTCTCTCTCTCTCTCTCTCTCCATCGTCTGGTGAAGAATGATGAGTCATGTTGGCAATCAGATTCAGATCAGTTGCCAGTTTAGGTTCACGGGTACGAATTTTCTATGGTAATAATTTAATAAATCCAAAAACCTGGGCGATTGTGTTGATATTATGTTCCTGACATTAATTGCTTACTATGGGCTTATGTTATGAAGTCCACGGGAGTGTAATTGTTTCATTATTCGAACAATTTAGTTAAACAGGAAGTAAATGAGCAATTGACCGATTTAAAAAGTTGAACGGAAGTTACGTTGAGATGTGGAAGTGGCAGATCTTTTTCATTAATTTTTTACTATTTACAGTGAGGGCGGTAATCACTTTAGAGGTTTTCGGTTGAACACAGTCTGAGGAGACGCATGCGAGCATACTTCTACGTCTGACACAGGCATCTTGAACAACGAGAAGACCCATCTCTTGCAATGGACGGCCATTCAGCAGGGTGGCTGGAGACTGCGGGGCATGGCTGGCGGGAGTGATATGAGATTACCAGAGGACATCCAGACAATCAGTTGCTCATAGCGAGGAGAGTGTTTAGATGGAAGCGAATACACAGTGACTGCGTTATGGGTAGCAATCAGGGGCCAACGGGGGAGGAACTTATAAGCCCAGGAGGTAGTGCACAGCCCCCTCAAGCGGTACAGTACAGTAAAGGAGCTAAATACAAGTTAATAAAATCACGAGTAACACGCATGTTAAGGGATTCTTTCACGGTTGGTATTCATTCCCAGCACGGTATTTGTTGTCGTATTTTTCAGAGTGCTGATATATGTAGTAGTTGGTGTCAGTGCTTAAATGATTAACCTAAAGTGGTGATTGATCTTTGTTATTCCCAGCTTCTATTTACTGTGAATATATTCGCTGTTTGGTTATTTAGTGTGTTTTAATTTGTCTTGACGTTTTGTAAAATGGCAGGTGTGTCAAGAGTTGTTCGGCAGAAGGTTAAACTGAGCGGAAAACTGGACGCATGCAGGTAAGTACAATCAGCTAGAGGGTGAAGTTGCGAGTTGAGACAGCAGCTTTATCAGGAGTGGACGCGATCTGAGGAGTGAAGGTAGTTAGATTAACCTGTTTAGCATTTAGTTGCTTATTCATATATGCAGCAATTGATGTAACAAGTACGTAAAGCGTTGCCCAGGGTCTTTTACAATGGAAATGCTAGGGGCATTATGTGATTTGCTGTTTTAATGTTGGATGCTGTCGTGTCGGGCTGTGATGGGTGGTGTTAACATCGTGATTATGTCCGTGTGTGATGGGTGGGTGTTAACGATCGCGGATCTTGTCGCGTCTGTGATGGGTGGTGGTGTACATCGGATACTGTCCGTTCGTGGGATGGGTGAGGTTTCTAATACCTCACGATGCTGTTGCCGTTGTGTGAATTGGGTGCGGTGTTAACATCGGGATTACATGCTCACGTCGTGTGTATGGGGGGGGGTTAAACATCGGCGATACGGTCACCGTCGTGTGTTGGGTGGGTGTTACATTATGATGCTGTCTGTCGGTGTGATGGCGTGGGTATAACATTTGGGATGCTGCCTTGCGTCGATGTGATGGGGTGGCGGTTTCACATCGGGCACTGCTTTTGCGTCGTGTCATGGGTGGGTTTTAACATAAGGATGCTGTCGCGTCGTGTGATGGGTGGGTTTTAACATAAGGATGCTGTTGTGACGTGTCATGGGTGGGTTTTAACATAAGGATGCTGTTGCGTCGTGTCATGGGTGGTTTTACATAGGATCGTTCGCGTCTGTGTGATGAGGTGGTTTTTAACATAATGGATGCTGTCGGATGTGACGTGTCATGGGTGGGTTTTAACATAAGGATGCTGTTGCGTCGTGTCATGGGTGGGTGTTAACATTACGATGCTATTCGCATTGCAGCTGGAGTTGAAGACAGAGTGTGTGAGCGCGATGAAGGAGCGTGAGCGTGAGCTGCTCAGCCAGCTCAGCGCTCCTATGGACCAGAAGATTGCGACTATCCTGCGACGCATGCACGACGAGCACCGCCACCTGCTGCAGAGCCAGCTCACGCTGCTGCGCCGTGAGTGCGAGGGGCGCGGCGTGCCCACGCAGACGGTCACGCTGTCGCACAGCGACGCCATGACGCCCGGATGGCGACGCGGACATCAGCGCGACCGGGCGACGCCCCGCGCGTCAGAACTGTCGTCGGACGGCGATGCCGATCACCTTGACGATGGCGCGCACGAGATCGTCATGGCGACGGACGACGACGTCGTGTCGAGTCGGCTCGCCGCCGGTGACGAGATCGTGACGCAGTACGTCGACGAGCAGGATGATGTCATCATAAGCGACTCACATGAAGTGGTGATGTCATCGTCGCAGGCAGGCGACGACGGGACAGTCGAAGAAGTGGTGTTGCTGGAGCAGAGCGATGTGGTTTCTTGCCAGCAGGTGGCACGCCGTGCAACACTGGCAGCACTGTGCTGTCGCTGGTCGATTCTCATATCAACGAGCTGCCTGTCCAGTTGCCAGATGAGGATGGCTCTCCGAGAAGGAGTGTTCGGACCTATGGAAGAGCGAAGAGAAACTCTGGTGCTATATCTGACTCGAAAAGAGTGCGCAAAGAGGCGAAAATGAAAGCGTCTGCAAGTGTATGTGCGCATATTTGCGCATGCATGTATACATTTGCGCATATTCGTACATGTGTGCGTGTGTTTGTGTGTGTCTATATGGGCAAGTTCAGACTGAGTGCATGCGTGTGCACACATTTTGTACATGATTGTGTGTGCGTGCGTTCGTGCGTGTGTCCATTTAAGTCTGCGTGCGTGTGGCTTATGTGTATGTAAGCGGCCACGCAGCCCAACATGTTCAGCAAATAGTTAAAGAATATCACTGTCAACTGTAATTTAGGTATCATTGCATAATTTATTAAGACCTGCTATCGCTTTTAGCTTCATGTATAGACATAGTGTTTTATACTATGGATTCATAGCGTGTTGTAGCATTTATGTATTAGAGCGTAACCTTAGGAACAACTATGTCGGTATATTATAACGTTTGTCAGTGTTTGTGCTATATTGTGCTCACTGTATTATGATTTTTGACCTTGTTGTGTATGTACATAGATAACATTTCATTGTTAATAAAATATTACATTTATATTAAATGGAAGTTCAGTTTTGGTGTTTTATTACACTATCTGCAAAGCCTTTAACAACAAAATAATAGCAATAATTTTTCTTCCAGACATAGAAATAAGCATAGAGACACAATCTAAACCTAACTTGTATATTACGTATTTCTATGCTTTCAAACCTGGGGCCTGGGGTTGTCAGAAACAAAATTGATCTTAACATTTTAAAGGGATCGTTTACTCTAGGTTCTAGCCGGTTTATTTTATTTTGTAGTTAATTTAGGTTAAAATGCGGCTACATAAAAAGTCAATGGTCAATCACCATTAGAAATATTATTAAAAATGTTTAAAACTACAGACTACAGTTTTGAATTACAACCGACGGCTGGCCGCCACTCAAATGGCCGATCCTGATTGATTGTGCAAAACGACTTTTCAGCCAAGGGCTACAGACAGGGTTGTTCTTATTTATTAATTTAAAGCAAAGGATCTGTATATCTTTATAAACGAAATAGTTTTCAGTTATATATGGATAATTTACCCTAAATTTGAATTACGTTCGGTAATAGCATTTAAGTTAATCGAGCTTGGCGACTAACATCGCCGATTCTATCGCGAGTTTGATCAAAATCGCCGGTGAAATCGCGCCTAGAGCGTGCATGCATGTGCACGTTAGACGTGCCTTGTGCCGTGCGTGCGTGGTGCGTGGGCACGTTACGACGTTACAGCTGCGCTGCATTCATGGCGTTGCGTGGTGTGGTATGTAACGTCGCTGTGTATTGTAACGTAGCGTGGCCATGCCCTGTGCGTGCTGCGTTTGGCCAATGTGCGCTGATGCGTGCGTGTGCACGTATCGTCGCGTGCGTGCGCGACCTGGTAGCATGTGTGCGTGTGCACGTGCGGCGTGCCGATGCGTGCGTGCGCAAGTACACGGGTTGCGTGGGTGCGTGTGTACGTACACGTGCGGCAGTGCGTGCGTGACGTGTCGCGTTGCAGTTACACTGTGCCGTTGCGTGCGTGTGTACGGTACACGTGCGTCGTGCGTTGCGTGCGATGTGCATTACACGACGTACATGCGTGCGCGCCGGGGGAAGCAACACGTGTGAACGTAGCACCCGTGCGTCGCGTGCCGTGGTTGTGCGTGCGACCAGCCGATCGTCCGTGCGCTGCTGGCTTGTGGGTACGTGTGCACGTATTACGTGCGGGCGTGCGATTACACGTTGCGTCCGGTCGCGTGGCGTCTGCACGTACACGTCGCGGGCGTGGTGCGTGCGTGCGTGCTGTGTGAACGAACACGGTCACGTGCCTGCGTGGTGTGTGTGGTGCGTTCTGCACGTATACGTGCGGTGCGTGCCGTGCTGTGGTACACGTGCGTGCATTGTGTGCGTAGGTGCGTTGCGTGCGTTTTACACGTGCGTGCATGTGTGCGTGTGCACCGTACACGTGAGGCGCGTGCGTGCGTCGCGTGTGCAAGTACACGTGCGTGCGTGCGTGTTGTACGTACACGTGCGTTCGCGGCGTGCGTGCGTGTGCCTTACACGTGGTACATGCGTGGGTGTGAACGTACACGTGCGTGTCTGCGGTGCACCCGTGTGTGAGTGCGTGCTGTGTTAGTACGTACCACGTGCGGCCCGCCGTCCGGGAGCGGCTCGCCCGCAAACCCGTCCCTGGTGCGTGACGGTGGGCGTGCGTGTGTGTGTGTGGCCAGGTAACACGTGAGTGCGTGCGTGCTGCACGTACACTGTGGTGCGGCTGTGCGTATGCCACATATACGTGGCGTGCGTGCGGTTATGCACGTTCACCTGCGTTCATCGCGTACGTGCCTGCGTGCGTGTGCAAGTACACCCCGCGCGTGCTGTGCGTGCGTGCAGTGAATAGCGTGTTACGTACACTGCGTGCGTGCTTATTGGCACGCTTCACCTGCGTTGCATACGTGCGTTCGTACGTGCCTCGTGCGTCGTGCAGTTCACTGCGTGGCATGCGTGCGTGACCCGTACGTGCCCTTGCGTGCGTGTGCAGCGTACACGTTCGTTCGCTGCGTGCTGTGCGTGTGTGCACGTGTGCAGGTAACGTTGTGCCATGTAGTGCCGTGGTGTGTGGCGTGTGCAGGTACACGTTGTGTGCATGTGTGCGTGTGCGTCGTGCGTGTGTAGTGCAGGTAACTGTTGGCGTGCGTGCGTGCTTGCATGTACACGTAAGACGTGCTCGTGCGTTGCGTGAACGTAGTGCACGTACACGTGCGTGCATGCATGCGTGCGCCGTGCTGGGGTTGCAGGTACCGTGCGGTGCAGGAGTGTGTGCGTGCGTGTGCACGTACACGTGCGTGACTGCTGGCGTGAGTGCATCGCTTATTACATGACTGACATACTACACATAGAACATCCGCTATTACGTTCAGTTTCATTTGAAACTCTGATTGGCTGCAATTGAATTGCTACAAATCGGCCCTCTGCGAATCTTATCCGCCGCGCCTCGGACACACTTTAGTGATTAAATCGGGCGACTAAATGGGCGGACTAATTGCCCGATTAATATCAAAACGTTTGATCTATGCCGAATTAAATCGGGCCCGACGATAATCGGCCGCGACGAAATCGCGCGATTTGTGTGGACACACTAGGCGATTTCACCGCGCGATTTAGTCACCGATTTTGTCGCCGATTTAACACTCGCCTAGTGTGTCTGGCCCTTTAGGAATATAAAATATAATTGCACTTTTGTGATTAGGCCCTCGGTCCTGTAACGTCAAAATAATTTGTTTAAATACGCAGTTTTTTCCGGGGTGGCGACGGTTGCGAGGTGTCTGGCAGCCGTTCAATTCGTCGCGTTTGATGTGTAAGTTATTATAACAATTAATTGGTATCTGTGAAATAGTATTACGTGTGGGGTATACTAGACGAATTTTGTTCTCATACGAGTAAGTACGTTGAATGCGAGTAAAATTCTAGAGGTCTTACTATCCTTTAACGTTTTTCTCTTAGACGTTGACAGAATAATTTGCGTCGAGTTACGAGAATGGAAAAATCGTAGCAGATTCTCCTCATAGAATACGAAACAAAGTGATGTCGACGGTCTAGTGAGAAATTTGTATCTTAATGAAGAATGAGACTACTAATGTTTGATAGCACTAATTTTATTGTTTCTGACAACGTCAACGGGCCCCTGGTAGTCAAGGAGCTACATATAACGTATATATATATTGAAATAGCTATTACCGGCCTTCCAGACGGGTTCGGAGGTGGGGTATCTTGACTCGAGGTGACGGTTTAACCATTTATTCTTCACTTTATATTTCCGAGCGTGTTATTAATTACAGTAACGAAAATACTCGATATTTAACTCGAGTCAATATACCAATATTTGTTTAAAAAAAATGTATCTAAATCTATATAAAATCTTTGAATTTAGCAAGAGGAGAAGATAGAATTTTAGAAGAGGAAATTAGGGGAATGGAGTCATTTCATAGAACAATTTTACTTATTTAGATATTTTTTTGAAAATATAATTCTGGTTAGAAGCATCAATAATACAGTCAAATTCTTTAACAAACAGCAAATGCATTTGAAGTTAGTTTTTGAAGATATATTTTCTTGAAGCACGTGGACGGCGGCGGCAGGGTTACACCTCCCCGTTGTCAATATTTGGCCACACGCGCGGCACAGCACGCATCACACACACACGCGCGCACGCACGCACACACCGCTTCCAACACACGGGCATGCGACACGCACAATCACACGGCACCCCGCACACACATACCCAATACACACACGGCGCGCACCACACATACACTCACACGCACATTGCGCACGCACACGCCACCACACACGCATACATGACATACATACATACATACACGCACACGCAACGCACACGCAACACGCACACGCACACGCACATGCACCCGACACGGCACACGCACACGCACATGTACACGCACACGCACCAACAGCGCACGTGGACACACACATTACACACACATAACACTGAGCTGTCGTATCTCGTTGGGGTTTGTCTTAATTTTCGCTCAAGCTTGTGCGCGGAGTGACCATTGGCCTGTTTATACACGCAGCCGCAATGTCTTTGTGTTGTTGATATGTGTGTGGCTGTGTGTGTGTGTGTGTGCGTGCGGGGTTGCGTGCCCGCAGCGTGCGTGCGGTTAGTGTTGGTCTCTTGCTATGCGTAGGTGAAGGCTCACCTAATTAAGGCCTTATTGTCGCTTTCCTTTAATCTACAATTGTTAGCTATATTTATCATTAAACCCGGAAAAACAGAGATTAATAGTTTAACAATTTCAAGGTAGGAAAAGGGGTTGTGTGTGTCTTAGACAATCTAAACGCGTATAAAATTGTCAGAGCATTGGGGCCGGGTAAGCGCTCGGGCACGGTTACACCTCCCGTTACAAATGTTTGCACACAGGCGCGCACGCACGTACGCACCGTATTCACACACATACGGCATGCGCGCACGCACAATCACCACGCGCCACCACGCACACACATACACATTTACCAGCACACCAGGTGCGCGCACACACTACACGCACACGCAACGCACGGCACGCACGCACGCACGCACACACCCACACACACACACACACACCAAGCACCACACCACCATACAATTCAGCCGTCTCTCGGTTGGGGTTCTTTTCTTAATTTCGCCTCACAGCGGCGCGGCAGTGCTTCGTTGTTTATACACCGCAAGGCCGCAAATCGCAGCGCGTCGACGCCCGTGATTTTCAAGTGGACGTTGCGGTAGCAGGTGATTCACATGGCTCTGAGTTTGGACTGCGCTATCGGATTTGGCCGATCTTAGAAAGTTGAGTCGCTGGGTGATTCATCGTACTTGCTTTGGTGCGGGATTTCGATGAATGCCGGTTTTTCGCGCACATTAACTTTTTTCAGAAAATTGCCGTCAAAAGTCAGTTTACGTGTGAAAAATCGCGTTCTAACGTAGCTGCGAATTAGTCGCGACGCCAGAAGGGGCCCCAGCTGGGTGATGTCGCGGAGCACGAGGCGGGGCGGCCACGGTTTCG